TCTTCCACAAGCGATAAACTCTCCTATTTTTCCTGAGTCCCAGCAAAAGCTCCCCGTTCAGCCAGGCCGGTTGCAAGTCTGCCTTAATTTCATCCAAAAATAAGTGTTTGGTCTTATGCCCCTTACTGGTGGAGTCCGAATTGGAGACACATTCATACCTAAACGTTATTGAAACTTTATGGTGTAAATTGTCTGTCTATACAGGCATGTCTATACGTGTCTGTATGCTGCTAATAGGCCAAAGTGTTTGGATTCTGTGATAAAATGCACAAATAGTGATGACTGAAGAGGAGTGCTGAACTGAGCGTCAGGAGGCCATGAATTAACTTCAGGGTTTTAGCAGCTTTTCTGTTAATTCTGTGTGCTTCACAGCTGTTTTTAAGAGCTGTTAAACAAAACTATGTTGTTTTGGAGCTAGAGATGTATAGCGTGCTCGGACTGAGAGGATGAACAAATCTGCAGCAGCAAACTTGAGAACCAGAGTCTGGAACAACACAAGAAATTAGCATCCTGGTGGTGGTGTTTTCCAGAAAGAACATGCCAATCTAGGCTTCCTGAATCTGCTAGACCTCACTTTTCTCCTGTTGCAGGAATAGGGTGTGGGTATCCTGATTTTGACAGTTTCAAAGTAGTTGTAAAAGCGCTCTAAAATCTACTCTTCTGGCAGGCCATGAAGAAGAGCAGCTTGGGTCTGTTGTGAGTTTGAGTTGTAGATGTCCTCAGCATCTGAAACATCAGGATTCAGTCCCTGCTGATGGCTGACTAAGGCAGAGAGTATCTTCATGTGATGGAATTTCTGGGCGTTTTCTCAAGGCTTTTCTTAAAAAGGTGCAAAAATAGAAACTTTATCAAATACTCAATATGCACCAAAGTTAGTGTTCCAGTACAGACTATCTGTTTCATATATGCAATTAAGCAGTCACCCAAGGGCAACCATTTAACGATAACAAGGCCTTAAGATGCGGGATAAGCAATGTGTAAAGGAGAAAACATTTGGAAAATAAATAGTCCCAGTTGAAATACTGAACTGAGTCTAGTAGATCTGGCTGCTGTTCCTCTTTCTGTCTTTTAAGGGTTATGGGCATAAGGTTTGAATTAAGGTTGAGGTGGCAGTTTTGATTCTGGCTGGTTGAGTGCTTGGACATGGGGAACCTGATTTTTAATTCAGCTGTTGTGAATACTTTGGTGTTTACAGGACTGTGTACAAAACCTGTCTTGATGCTTTTTAGTAACGTAAAAAAAAAAAACCCCTTGAGCTCTTCAATGGTACCTAGTTTTGTAAAATGCCATGCTTGTTAGTTTGAAAGAATGAATTGTTCTGGGATTTTCAACAAATAATGTTTTGTTCTGCGAGTGGAAAAAATGCATAGTTGAAACAGTTGCTTGTTTTCAGTTTTTTAAAATAAACATTCAAACTTATTTCAGGTGGAGAAAGTTTGGCTTATTGAAATGCAAAGATCTAGAACTTATTTGGGATTTTTCTCTTTGCAGATATATTTAAAATGTCCAATGGTTATGAAGATCACATGGCTGAAGATTGCAGGGATGATATTGGTAGAACAAATTTAATTGTGAACTACCTTCCTCAGAACATGACGCAAGATGAGTTACGGAGTCTATTTAGCAGTATTGGCGAAGTTGAATCTGCAAAACTTATTCGGGACAAAGTTGCAGGTATAATCTAGTATATAAGGAACTTTTACTTTGTGGTAGACTGCTCAAGCAAATACTTAATTGAATGCAATTAATGTAGAAATATTAAATATTTGTGTGTGTATAATCAAACTGTTGAAAAGTATGCATATAACTAGAGTAATGCTAAGACTAGGTATTGAGTATTAGGAAGATGGAATACTTAAGGCTGAATTAATGGCTACTTTGTAGTCATTAATTTTGTAGTCATTAATTCTAACACTATGGTTAAGAATTCCAAGAAGTACCGTTCCTAAATTTGAACATCAATAGGCATGTCTAAAACTAGTTTGAATTCGGTCCCCAGCTTGCTTATTCTTCCTACAGTCTGAACATTTTTGACTCTACCAGAGCTCTGAATATGCAAACAAACCTTTTGATCTGATTTTGATCAGTAAAATAAAGGTGTGGCATGCATCTGAAATGGTTGTAGGCCTTATCGCTCTTCAGGAATTTAACTTGTAGGTTCTTTAAATAGAATTGTTAGTAGTAGCTCTAAAAAATGAGAGGAATGAATTGTTCAGATTTGTGAAATTTAATGTTTCCCCGAAAACAAACAAATGCTGGCAGAGCAACTGGTTCCATAAGCCATATCTATTTAGTTGCAGGAGCTTTTTATCTGCTCTGTGAACATGTTTTAATCCTTGCACAGTTAAAAATTTTCATTTACAAATTCTGGTTATTCTTGTTCAGAATTCACGGGATCTTGGATTTAGTGGGAGAGCACGGTTGCTTCTGTAAATAAAAGTAATTGTGCTGTTAACTAGCTACGCATGCTTGTTTGTTCTCAGCCTGCAGACGGTTGCCTTGTGGAATTTTCTGCTGCACATGCTCAATCTTGTATTTCGGAATCTAGCAATACTGACTTAGATCATTATCTAATGCATAATGAAACAGGTCTGAAACTACTTCACTGTCTGTAAAAACTGCATGAAAGCTGATGAAACGCATGATAATTTGTTGTGTGTTATCTTAAGTGACTTTAGTACTTTATATGCTTGAGAATAGACACGAGAACTGAATAATTAAAAACCTTAGAATTTACTTTCAGAATGGCTTCTCTGATTTCCATGTCTTTAGTTTTCTTATTTTCTTTCAGATGAAGTTTCATGTGATAGCCATCTATCTAAATCTGTACTTACGGAACGTATGTGTAAAATCATCATGAAATAGTTACATAAAATACTGATTTCTTTGAATATTTTGATAGCTGTGTATTCAGCCTAGATGTTGTCGTACAGTTTGAGATGCTTAGAAGTTGAGGCTTGCTCTGGAGGCTACTTTTGCAAGGAAATAAGATCACTTGTTTAACGGTAGCAAGCCATTCATCAAATGTCACAGCTGATCCACACCTTAGACTTTCAAATAAGCACAAAATTGTCTGCGTGGGAGGTAAGGATATTTTAAACGGGAAGCAAGACACGTCATTACCTGAAGTTTAAGAGTCTACTTAACACTGTTCCTTGCAGCATCGAATACTCTGGTAAAGTCTGGTTAACTTTAACTTCGAACTTGACAGTGCTGGGTAGTTTAAAGTCCAAAACATATGCTTGTGTGCTTCAGGTTTTTCTTAACAACCCTCTGAAGAATCAAAAGTAAAATTCCTGTTAGCGTTGCATGGAGTCCTTGAGTGCCTGTAGGCAAAATTCTCGCTTTTCTTTAAAGTGATTGCAAGTGTTTAGTTCTGCATGGCTGTGTTGGTCAGACCACTTAATTTTGTTGCTACCTAATTTTTCATTCACCTGCAACACTGTTAGGAGCAATTCCCAGTCTTCTCCATGCTCACTGATAGTTTTGGAATATCAGTAACTAAGAATTGGCTTCTTCAGGAACCTTCTAAAAGTATGATTTTTTTTTTTTTTCTTCCTTTTGCTTTTCTTTCTGCCCCTTCATGTTTGCATTAAGATTTCTGTATTGTAAAACTTCACTCTAAGCAGATCTGATGTTTGGCTGCCCCCGAAAAGAAGTCTTGTGGCAGAGTTCGGCTTTCCTTGTGAAAAGAAACTTTCAATGCAAGAAAACTTGCATTTTTCTGACCCCATGGCAGACTAGCAAGGAAACTAGAGCTGCACAAAAACCTCTTTAGCTCCCCGACCTTGATTCCTATGAGGTCAGATAAGTCATAATATTGGCATGTAAGATGCAGTGGGGTTGAGTGGCCTGGACAGGAGGGAGGTAACCTCTCATTTTGTTGGAATTAGACTTTTTAGATCAGTTTAGTTCTTTTCAATGAAATCACAGCTTTGGTGCCCCCATGACATTCTGTTAAATCAAAGCATTTTGTCTTTGGAGTTGCCTTTATTGACTGTATTTGTAGAGTTAAAATAAATGTTTGTTTGATCATGCTTTTTTTTTCATAAAACAATGACTGATGTGTATATTTTTTCTCAATTAATTCTCTATTAATGAAATATGTAGGGCAGAAAATGTCTTCTGCCTGGAATGCAGTTTTTAATGACTTATTGAACTAGCCTTAGCTTTATAGAGACTGATTACTTTGATTCAAGAATCGATTTGAAAGCCAAAGTTTTGTTTTGTTTGAGCAAAGTATTTCATTATGATCAAAGTATATATGTTGTTGGGTTTTGTTTCAACTACATCATGGTACTGAACAATCTTATGTTCCATGTATTGGATTGTGTTTACAAAATTTAGAGAAACTCTTTGAAGCCACTAGACTACTTACCCTTTGTTTTGTTATTGATGAATGCTGTAGGAAGTTGAAAACAGCAGCAAACCATAGTGTCAGTTTACATTCCTTACTATGAATTTTCTGCTTTGTGTACACATGGATTACAGCAGTTGATAAGAGTATGACTATGCATTTGTTTTGTTGCTTGAGACGTGATAATCTCTTTTTCTGTGTTTTGCAGTAGCTGTAAAGAGAAGCTTATGCACAGTAGATGAACATTAGACAGGGTGCAGTGCTCCTTCAGCTCTTCCTGATCAAACTGGAAAGATAGGGTGCTGGTCTCTTCATTCTCCAACTTGTGTATTGCATTCCTAAGAACTTCCAGACATGGCTCTGCTTAACTTGTGATGAGTGAATTGGTACTCAGGGTCAGTGGGCAAATATTGAATTGTTGCTTTGTTGCTCACTGTACTTGTATTTATGGTGAGTATGCCTTGGACATCCAGGATTTTCATAAGAGAACTATAGAACTCATATTGGATGTTGTTCTTTCTGTCAGATCTTAAGAGTAGCACTAGCCATCCCCTGGGGCTTTGAGCCCTGGGGAAACATTAGAAGGTCGCTTCCCAATATAGTATGGCACAGTGTCAAGTCTGAGATGTAACTTTTCACTGTTGCATCTCCTGGCCTTTTGTGGTAATTGCTGAGGCTTGTGAGTAGCTATGGACCCAATTCAGCTGATGAAATCCTCTCTTCCTGTGGCTCTGGCTTACGAGGCTGAGAGCAAGGAAAAGTACTGGGGTTTGTCCGATCAGTCTGCACTGATGAGACTGTAGCCCTCTAGCACTGACTTCAGACACAATAGTGCCAAACTTGTGCTCTGTACCGATTTCCTACCCAGCGATGTGTACAGTGTTAAATGTCCTCTTTCTTGGAGGCACTGCCTGCTATCATAGATGATTCAACAGAAGAAATATGTCCTGTACCATGTTTTGCATTGGAGGTGCTTGACTTTGCTGGGACATCCAGATTCTGGGGTCTGGGTTTCCAGCCAACCTGCTGTGCTAGACTCCTCTTACAGGTGAACATTTTTAAAGCATTTTTCCTCCTTCAGTATCTGTTAATGCAGAAATCCAGGCCTTTGTGCCACTCTAGTCTTGCTGAGTTTCTCGCAGCACAGATGCCGATGGCTTATCGTGTCAGGATGTCTGATTGTGCACAATGCGGATGCTTCTAATCAATAGCTGTAAATTTTCTGAGAGAACCTGGTTGTCTTTAGTGTGCTGTTCGTGCAGGTGTACGCAGACTTTTAGTCCTTCTGGACCAAATGCTAAAGCTGAAAGTCTGCCATGAGCGTAAGTTGTATTTAGTTTGTCTTCCCCTTACCCTGCTGAAGTGTTGGTTCTTTCAAACCCAACTGTCTAAAGCTCTGAAAAGGCTGAGTTAAAGTTTTCCTGTGTGCTTAGGGTCTCAGACTGCTGTGGGGTCGGTTTATTGCTCATGACACCTGTGCTCTGAGTACCTGGTGACAAGTTTGCTGTGCACACCTCTCTGTAAAAGTGTTCTGTCTGATGGCAGTTGATTTAGTTAGGGAGGCATCCAACTTCTTGAGGGTTCTTGTTCCCTCCCTCACACCTTCTGGACTGCTTGAGCAGGGAATAAGGTATCCCTGTGATACTCATGACAAAATAGTCATGACTTTCTACTCTAGGAAATCTAGGATATGATCCTTCAGACTGTGCCAAAGGCTCTGTCTGTACTTGTCGACTACCAAAATACGGCCATCTCTATGCAAACGCTGAAAGGAGACAGTGGGCTTCCTCTCTGCTGTCTGCATTTGCTTATGTAAGTTTGAGCTCTGATGGAGCGTGCTAACGTTCAACTCCTTGATCAGCAGCTATCAGGGACAAAGGTAGCGCTCCACTGTTGCTGAAAAATCTGGAGCAGAATGGATATTTTGGGTTGACTTGTTAAGGTTGTGTGCAGAAATCTGGGGTCCATCTCAAAAAATCGTGTCGTTACGGCTCACTTGCACTGCAAGTGTGCGTGTGGCCTGTTGCTTACAGAACCAAAAAGAAATCGCTTCTAGGTAGTTGGAATTCCTCAGGAATCAGTATGCATCTTCCCCTTTTCCCTGTCTTTTCCTTTTCATGATGTCTTCTCTGGAAGACTCTTTCACAGAAATTATGCAGCTGAAAAAGAATTGAATGGCTGTGTCCTTGTAAGCTTTTAAAGCAAAAAGGGAAGGAAGATTTTTATTGCGCCGCTTTCAGATGCTGAAAGGCGGTAAGTAGCTCTCTAGCTCACATGACAGGGTAGCGCTCTATTCATTTCACTAGTGCAGTAGACT